CCTCCCTCTCCCTTCCCCCTCCCCCTCAAACGTTATTTATTAATAAATTATTATTATTATTACTATTTATGTAAATGAGTTGGAGAGAGAAATGATGTTGTTGTAAAAACACGATTATAATTAAAACCAGATTTCATTCATTCATTCATTCATTTAAAAAAAAATTTATTTAACGATTCGACGATCGACCAATCAGAAAATTGTTTAAAAAAAAAAAAAGAAAAATTAACGTCAAACGTTTTAATAATTCGAAATTTAATTAATTTATTAAATAATTTATTTTTTTTATATACTTATTAAATAAATTAATAAATAATGATAATAATAATAATGATTAAAAAAAAAAAATGGCGGCGCGTCCGATGAAAAAATTAATTTTTTTTTTATTTATTTATTTTCACCCCTCGGCCATCAATTATATTTATACGTAATGAAAATTTAAAAATGATAAATGCGTGATTTTCTTTTTTGAGGGAGGGGCGAGAGGGGGAGGGAAGGGAAAAGGAGAAGGGGAGGAGGTAGGAAATATTTAATATTCGAACCCGAAAAGAATTCGATAAATAATAATAATGAAAAAGATGATTGCGGCCGCGACGACGACGATGATGATGGAAATGACGATTATAATAAAATCAAAGATGATAATAATGATGAAGAAGGAAACAAACACAAACAAACACACAAACACAAACACGTGTCACCAATTTTTTTTTGAGGAAAAAAAATGACCCATCGGGATTTAAAGAATTTTTTTTTTTGTTTTGGGTGTTGGCTTCTTTTTTTTTAAAATAAGATTTTGATTGATTAAAATGTCAAATTATCAGAGCGTCGGCGTAAATTTTAATTAAATTAAATTTATAAGTAAGATAATAATAATAATAAATAAGACAATAATTTTTTTTTTTTTGATTTTTAGGTAAATTATTTGTGTAATACGTGGGGGTATTTGTGTACCTGCTTTTTTATTTATTATTATTATTATTATTATTATTTAAATAATAAATATATAATACTTACATCTATCAAAGCCGGCTGCATCTGTAAAAAAAAAAAAAATATTAATAATAATAATTAATATTTTATTTAAATATTAACGATAACGAAGAAGAATAACAACAAAAAAAACGTTACATATATATATGAATTAACATCGATAAAACATAATATAGAAATCAACTTTTTCTTTTTCTGATTCCACGTGAATTAATTTTTAAACGTGTCAGAAACGAGAGAAAAAGAAAAACTCAATTAAAATCATTCATTATGTTTTTTTTTTTTATTTTAACTTTAAACAAAAAAAAAAAAAAACCTCATTAAAAAAAAAACGGCTTTACAAAAAAGAAAAAAAAATTTCCATTTAAAAAAAAAAAACCGAAAAAAAATAAAATTAATAATAATAATAATGAAAATAATTAACATTTAAAATTGAGTTACGAGAGAGAGAGAGAGAGAGAGAGAGAGAGAGAGAGGAAAAAAAATAAAATGAATAATAATAATAATAATCTAAGGATTTGAATAAAAAAAAAGACAAAAAAAAGGAAAAAAAAGGAAAAGAAAACTACATATTTTTATTATTATTATTATTTTGTTAAAAAAGATTTTTCACGATTTAAAAACCCCTCTCCTCCTCTTCCCTCCCATTCCCGTAGGAGGATAATTTAATAAAACCATTTTATAAAAAATAAAAATAAAAAAATAATAATAATTAATTTTTATTTGAGTAAATAAAATTTAAAAAAAAATTATTATTATTATTATTATTATTCGGGTAAACGAACCGATAATATTTGTCAATAGAAAAAAAAAGAAAAAAACATGGCCGCCAACAACTTTAAAAAAAAAAAAAGAAAAATTTAACCTTCACCTTTAACATAATAAATATAAAAATAAATGTAAAATGAAATTTAAACGTGTCATCAGAAACAATTTTTAAAACAAATTTTTTTTTTTTTTTTTTTTACGTGGAAATTAAATCGGAGTACAGAAGTGAGGTGTAGAGATGGGAAGGGGGGAGGCAGAGGGAGTGAAAAGAAATTTAAATTTAATGGCGATGAAATAAAAAAAAAGTTAAAAAAATGAATTTTTTTTTTTTTCTCGAGCTATAAAAGAGAATAAAAATATTTTCAACCATTTATATAAATTAGATTCTTTTTTTAAAAATTATGTCAATTCATTTTATTGAAACCATTATTCTCACTCTCTCTCTCTCTCTCTCTCTCTCTCTTTTTTCATTTCCTCTCTTTCTCTTTCTCTCTCTCATTTCTTAATATTCCTTTTTTTTTTAAAAGATGTTTCCAAGAATAATAATAATAATTTTATAACAATCCGACATTACGATCTTTTACATTAATAATAATAAAAATAATAATAATAATTTAATAACAAAACTATGTAAGTAAATAATTTAAATTTACGTCTATGGTCAAAGTCGTTGTTGGTGTTATTACCACGTGAGTCAGAGTTGACGTCTGTGGTTTTTTTCTAATGACGTCACTTAAAGTTTATTTGTGAATGTTTTTCCTGTCGTCCCTGTGATTTTTTTTTTTTTAAATTTAATAAATGAATGAAAAGAAAAAAAAATTTTTTTAGAAGCCATCTTTAATTTAACATAATAATACTAATGAAAAATAAAAAAATTATTATTTGTTATTTATATAAATAAATTTAAAAAAAAAAAAAGAAAAATTTTCAAAGCAATTAAATTCGATTCGCGAATGGAAGAAAAAAAAAGGAGGAAAATTTTTTTTTTTTGATATTTAAAACTATTTTCTTTCTTTTTCTATCGCATTTCTCCCAAAATCCTTTTGTCTCTCTCTGTCTCTCTTTCACTCTTTTTTTTTTCACTTTTTACTATTATAATGCTTTCCCATTTTAACGCCTCGCTTTTTTTTTATTCAAAAAAAAAAAAAATTTAAAATTTGTAGATTTTTTTTCCTCCCATGTTTAGCTTTTAAAAAAAGTCACGTAAGAAAAACAATGGAAAATGGAAAGTCAATACTCAATATTGTGAAAGGAAATTCTTTCATGGTTCATCGCATTTCTAATATCACTTGAAGAACTTGTAAAATATTCCATTCACTCGAAGAAAAAGAGAGAGAGAGATAGGGGAGAGAGAAAACGAAGGAGGAAGTGAATGAGAATAAGAAAAAAAAAAATGGGAAAAAGTTAAAACGGGGATGAAGGGGAGGAAAATGAAAAATAAAAACGGAGGTGTGAATAGTTAAAGAGAAGAAAAAAATGAGGGAAAGCGGCGATGGCAGCAGGAAAAGCAGCAGCACCACCACCACCATCAGCAACGGTAGATGATGGGGGAGCGGGGGGGGGGAAACCGAGAATTTAAAAAGAAAAAAAAAATGAATATTTACTTTTAAATGAAGAAAATTTCAATTTTAAATATGAAACTTTTTTTTTTTTTTCATAAAAAATTCAATAAGCCAATCATACGACAACCACTCATGGTAATAAATTTATTATTATTATTATTATTATTATTTTACTATAAAATTAAGTTAACGAAAGATTTATGTGTTTTTATAGTAAATTGCTTCGTGGATTTATCCCATCTTCTTCTTCTTCTTACCGTCACGTATGCATATTTATAAAATGATATATATATTCGATATTTTTCTAGAATAAAAAAAAAACTTAATGCTGACTATAATTTTTTTTTTTATTTACTCGATCGTGACCCCCGAACCCTCTCCTCCTAACCCCTCAACCCTCACGTTTACGTATATATATAGCGCTATAAGAATGCGAATTTTTTTACGTACAAAAATCACAAATGCGTGCATTTAAAAAAAGTTAA